AGACTTGCTCTGTCACCTAGGCTTGAGTTTTGTGCTACAATCACGGCTTAATGCGGCCTGGAAATCTTGGACTCAAATGATCCTCTCACCTCTGCTTCCTGATCAGCTAGAACTTACAGGTGCGTGCCACCACACCCAGCCAGTTTTTATTTAATTTATTTATGTTTTTGAGATGAAGTCTTGCTCTGTTGTCCAGACTAGAGTGCAGTGGCATAATCTCTGCTCACTGCAGCCTCTGACACCCAGGTTCAAGTGATTCTTGTGCCTCCACCTCCTGAGTAGCTGGGACTACAGGTGTGTGCCACCACACTTGGCTAATTTTTTGTATTTTTAGTAGAAACAGAGTTTCACCATGTTGGCCAGGCTGGTTTTGAACTCCTGACCTCAAGTGATCCGCTTGTCTTGGCCTCCCAAAGTGCTTGGATTATAGGCGTGAGGCACCACGCCAAGCCCAATTCTTCTATTTTTTGAAGAGATGGGGGTCTCACTATGTTGTTCAGGGTGGTCTTGAATTCCTGGCCTCAAGGGATCCTTCTGTCTTGGCCTCCCAAACTGCTGGGCTTATAGGCATGAGCCACTGTACCGAGCTGCTAAAGAATATACCTTGATAAAAATTCAGTATAGAAAAATATCTTTAAAAGTTATAAATCACTTAACTGTGCTATAGCAAAAATTTATCCAGGAATTAAATTGGTTTAATAGAGTTAATTTCTTTAAAACTTTCATAAATTCATTAATGTTGATATAATTCAGAGTTGAAAGTTTACATGCCATGATTTTGCAGGGGTTTGGAGAGAGAATTCTCAAATGGTTAGATGAAAGGTTTGGACTGTAAGTGGCATTTTACAGTCTTCAAAGCACTTTTATACCCATTGTTTTATTGGATTCTCCTAATAACCTTATGAGGTGGCAGGGCAGGCAGGGCCCATTCCGTCCATTTTGTGGATGTATTATAGACACTGAGACTTTGAAAAGTTAAGGGACTTACCAAAGGTCACCCATCACGTTCATGGCAAGGTCTAATTTAGGATCTGATTCCCAGATTACTACTCCAGTAAGCTTCTCATATCTAGTTATTCTGCTAACTCAGATAATGCTTTACTTGCTGGATAGACCAGAACCCTTCTAATTTTGACCGCCCAGCCCCTACTTTTTGCCACTAGGAGAAAGAAGTGGGGAAATGGAAGAGAAGAAGTGCAGATGGGGTTTAGAAGAGGGCAAGGTCAGTGTAACACTACGAAGGGACTTGTCACATAGCCAACATATGCTAGGTATCTTTCTCATTATTCTCAGAAAAGGGAGAAGGGGGGCTGAGATTTTAAGGCTGTGAGAATAGGATGTAAAGGGAGATAGGCAGTCTGGAAAAGACAGTGCCAGATGTATTTGAGGACTGTGAGTCCTGAGGGACAGGAGTCTAACTACAGTGAGGTGGGGTGAAGCTAGAGAGGCTGCAGCAGGATGGGGACTGTCATCCTCTGAGCTAAGCAACCTGGGATTTTTCCTATAGGCCTATAGTAGAACTAAAGTGTCCTGGTACTTCTTATAGAACACCAAGGAAAATGGCATATAAAATTGAAAATATCAAGTCCTGCTGGGCAAGTGGCTCATGCCTGCAATCTCAGCACTTTGGGAGGCTGAGGTGAGCAGATCACTTGAGCCAGGAGTTTGAGACCACCTTGGGCAACATGGTGAAACCCTGTCTCTATAAGAAAAAATAAAAAGAAAGAAAAAGAAAAATTAGCCAGGCATGGTGATACCTGTAGTTCCTGGTACTTGGGAGGATGAGGTGGGAGTATCACCTGTAACCAAGGAGTCACTGCTGCAGTGAGCTGTGATCATGCCATTGAACTTTCGCCTGGGCGACATAGTGAGACTTTGTCTCTCTCTCTTTTTTTTTTTTTTTTTGAGATGGAGTCTCGTTCTGTTGCCCAGGTTGTAGTGCAGTGGCGTGATCTTGGCTCAATGCAACCTCCACCTCTAGGGTTCAAGCGATTCTCCTGCCTCAGACTCCTGAGTAGCTGCGATTATAGGTGCACATCACCATGCCTGGCTAATTTTTGTATTTTTAGTAGAGACAGGTTTTGACCATGTTGGTCAGGCTGGTTTAGAACTCCTGACCTTGTGATCCACCCACCTTGGCCTCCCAAAGTGTTGAGATTACAGGCGTGAGCCACTGGACTCTGTCTCAAAAAATGAAAAAAGAAAAAACATCAAGTTAAACAGAGCTTAAAGAAAAAACATTGTTAAATCAAAAATAATCTGATAATACATTCTGTATTCTAGAAGAGCGGGACATAGGTGTCAGAAGAACAAAAAAACTTAAATGCAAGACATATATTCAGGCTACAGACCATGCTTTGTGTAGGCAGAGTTTCACAGATCCTTTACAATGACTCTGTTCCTCTCTCTTCACTCCCTCTCCCCACCATGATCTCTGGTTCACAGATTAGAAACCACTGCTATAAGAATTCAGATGTAAGGAAAATCAGTGTGTCTAAAATATGTTCTAGGGAAGGTAGCACTTTGGCTTCAGTTTGAAGAATGAGTAAGAGAAAAGGAGAAAATGGGTGTGGAAAGACCAGAAAAGCACAGATTTTGAGAAGAGGCATTGAAAATTGAGAAAATTCTCCCTTCCAACTTTATGAATAGGAAGTGACCACTATTATTTGTTTTAATAATGGAACTGTTGAGCTCAGATACAAACCAGGCAGGCACAGTGCTGAAGCACGAATGAGGCGATGAGAAGCATGGAAAGTGTCTAGGCAGAAAAGAAAGGTTGGAGTTGAGGCCAGGAGTTTGAGACCAGCCTGGGCAATATAGTGAGATGACGTCTTCTACAAAAAAAAAGTTATGTGTTTTAAACAATTGAAACAATATGAAAATAAAAATTACAGCCGGGGGGTGGCTCACGCCCGTAATCCCAGCACTTTGGGAGGCAGAGGTGGGCGGACCACGATGTCAAGAGATAAGAACATCGCGGCCAACATGGTGAAACCCCATCTCAATAAAAATACAAAAATTAGCTGGGCGTGGTGGTGCACACCTGTAGTCCCAGCTACTCGGGAGGCTGAGGCAGGAGAATTGCTTGAACCCTGGAGGCAGACGTTGCAGTGAGCCAAGATCGTGCCACTGAACTCCAGCCTGGCGACACAGCAAGACTCCATCTCAAAAAAAAAAAAAAAAAAATAATAATAATTACGTGCAATCTGACACCCTTTCCTTCAAGATAATAATTGCTAATATTTTGGGGAACTGCTTTCCTGAAATCTCTCCATGCTTATAGGATATTGTGTCAAACCTCACATAAATTGAACCCGTCTAGACATGCTGTTTTGTAATCAATTTTTTCCCTAAAGAATAAATTGTAAATAGCTTTTCACGTCAATAAATAGATCTATATAATCATTTTAAATGGTTCCTTAGTATTGCACTGGATGTATATGTTACACTTTATTTAAGCAGCACCCTATTGATGAACATTTACTCCCCCCCCATAATTAATTACCTCATACAACAACTTTGTGCGTTAATCTTTTCGAAATTGTTCGATTATCTTTTTTAAGGTAAATTCTTAAAAGTAATGAAGCTGGGTCAAGAAGTATGCCCTTTGTACGTTTGGATTCAAGTTGCCGAATTGTCCTCAAATTTGCAGGGAGACCCGCGAGGAAGCTCCGGCATTAGTTCTGGTGAGAGACAGCTGCAACGGAGATGGCGAGGGATGAATATAATCATAGGTGATCTAGCTCATCAAGGCCCATCCTCGGTGGGCTGGCATATTCCTTCCCTTTTTCCTCTCTTTCACTTCTTTTTCTTAATATGGAGGAAGAACCAAGAACTTCATCTCCCAGCATTTCGCAGGCAACACACTCGCTGGGAAGTGTAGCACCGGGTCTGAGAAGGGTCGGAAGGAGGGTGGGACGCTGAGAGGCATGCTGGGAGGTGTAGTCGAGAGAGAGGAAGAGAGACTGAGAGCGAGAGACGGAGGAGAGGGAGTGTGTGTGTCTATGCAAAGAAGATGGAGACACTGCGCACACTGCCCCTCGGGGATGGGGGCTCAGGCGACCTGACTTTCCTCACAGGTGGTCTTTGAGTCTACAACATCTGCCAGCGGATGGTTGGCTTTATTCCATTGTCCGTGACCGGAGAGGGCGCGGCCCCTCTGTACCGGGCTCGAGGCGGGAGGTGCAGGCCGCGCTCAGTCCAAAGCAGGGCATGCCGGGAGTTGTAGTCCGGGCGCTCTGAGGCTGTGGGACGTGTCGCGGCGCCGCGCCGGCTCCTCCTTCCCCGCCCTTCTCAGGGGTCCCCCGCCTCCTCCCTCCGCCTCCTCCTCCCTCGCCCGCAGCCGAGCGTCCCCTCCCCCCAACCCGTCGGGCTCCTCGGCGGCTACTGCAGAGGATTCAGAGCCGAGTCACTGAGGAGGAGGAGGCTCCGGTCCCCGCGCGCCATCCTCCACCCTACTGGACACGGGCGAGGGAGCGAGAGCGTCGCCGCCGCAGCCTTCGGAGAAGACAAGGGCATCGCCGCCTCAGCCGCCACCGCCGCTGTTTTCGCCTGCAGCTGCTAGCCGGTAAGGAGACTCCCTCCGCCGCCCGGTCCGCTCGTCCTGAGCCTGGGCAGGTTGTGCTGGCGAGAATGAGAGTGGGGGCTGCCAAGCCCCCGCGCAGGTTGGGGGGAGGGGGTTGAGGTAGCGATGGAACAGCGGGCTGGCGGGGGAGACTTGCCCAGACGCTGGCTGGGGGTGGGGTGAGGGTGGGACCCAAGCAGGTTGGGGGGCGGGCGACGAGGGAGGAGGACTTTTGATGGAGAATAATCCAACCTGGGACCGGAGAGTGGGGTGGGGGCGTCGGATTGGAATTCGGGATGGTCTTGGGGCGAGGTGGAAGAGGATGGCTTCTAATGGGGGAGGGGACTGAATGAGGGCGGTGATTTGGGGTTGGCCTGGAGCAGTTGACAGCTTCGAATCTGAGCTGGGGTGAGGGGTAGGAGAATGATTTCAGTGGAGAGTGAGTAGCAGATACAGGATAGGACCTGTATCTGGTTGGTTAGGACCCTGCGGAGTGTTAATTCAGGAGGGTGGAATTGGGGTGGACCTGGAGCAGGATGATGGAGGTAGCAGGAGCTGGGGATGAGGGGCTTGGCAGGTGTTGAGACCTGAGCTTGAAGTGGGTGTTTGTTATCTGGGGCTGGTGGAATTTGTGGAGACTTACGGAATAGCATGGGTTAGGATAGAGCAGAGAAGTGCAATTTGGGGGTTTCCTGGGGTGGGCTGATCGAGGTTGGAATAGGAGTTAGTGAAGGTGGGACATTCAATGAGGGGAGTGTGATGGTGAGCTGGCAAGAAGGGGTCAAATTGGAAGTCAGGTCTGAAATGGGAGAACAGGGATGGAAATGGAATGAGGGGCACAGTGGGTTGGATTTAGGATCTTTCAATCACTGGAAAGGGCATGGTGGCTCCTTGGTTGCAGGGTCAAGGCAGAGGGCACATAAAACATCCCTGGGCTGTATTCATTGAAAGGATAGCGGCAGGTGGTGAGCAAAGTTGGGGGATGGTATCTTGAAGAAAATGTCCCTTGGCCAAGGTGGCAGAGGGAGTTTGGAGAAGGACTTTCAGAGATGAGCTGGTAGGCCTGGAGAGATGGTTACTGATGGTGAAGTGGCACAGGGCAAATTTAAGGAGTGGGAGACCTGGTATGGATGGGGCAGAGAGGATGGAGAGGGACAGTGAGCTGTGGTGGGGAGGGGGAAGTGGATTGGATATTTTGGATGTGAGGGTTTGGGATGACCTCCAGGAGACCCGTGAGGGTTAAGGGTTGGAATACTTAAAATGGACAGCTTTGGTGGCTGTGGTTGGGGGAGAGGCAGTAAGGCTGTTAGAGGGGACTTTGCAGCAGAGACAGAAGAGACCTTCTCATTCTTAGGGGCCATTTTAAGCTGTTCGTTTGATCTTTTTGTTTTATTTATATTAGTATAATTTGGAAGTCAAGTCAGCCCAAAGGGTAAAGTTGAAAGGGACTTTAGTTAAGGTAGAATTAAGGAGGGGAGGGTGTCTTCTGTTATTTGTAGATCATAAAAAGAAAGTTGGGGGAAAAAAGCATACTTCCAAACTAAAGGTGGGGAGAAGATAAACTGGAATGTAATAGGTATCTTTCTGTTTGATGTCTTTGCCTTCTCCTTTCCCCTATCCTCCCGGTGTTTTTAAAAACTATACCTGGAATTTGAAATTTAAATAGATTTGGTGAGCTTGAGATTGTTAAGGGTGCATTCCTTGCATGAGAACTAATGAGTGAGCCTGAAAAATCTGAGGCTGAATTTATTTTGTAGGTAGGCAACATGCACATAGGCCAAAAGAGCTTGGGCCTTTTTTACCCCCTCTTAAAATTAGCGGGTTGAATTGATTGCTTGAAGATGCCATTTGTTAGTGTCCTGGTTTGCAAGGCAATTAGGCCCATCATTGTATTGCAGGCTAATAATCCTGAGATGAGTCTTGGCGCCACTGCTTTATGTAAACAGAGAGAAGACAGGAAATATGGAAATGTCATAAATATTCATTGGTGAGATGGTTTGGTACTGATGGAGTTTTTCATATGATTGTTTTTTGGCATTGATAAGATTTAAAATAATTGGATTGTATTTCTAAAGATTGAATTTTCTTCCAAAGGAATTCAGGTGATCAGAATTCTGTCAGATGTGAATAAATAAAGCATACTGAGTCATTTTTATTTTTTTAGGGAATGATGTTGATGTAGGTGCATTGTATTAACTAGAGAAACAGTATCTCCATCTATTCATCAGAAATTCGATTTAAACCTTAATAATATGCTCATTCTTATGGCAAAATAGTGATAATGGAAGGTACAGAGGAGTGTAAATGGAGGGAACATCTTTAGAGAAACAGTTTTCTGGACCTAATTGCATTAACTGTGATGATATATTAAACATAAAGTGGCTGTTGATTAGAGCTCAGACTGAAAAAAACTGAGGAGGGATGTAAAGAAGATAAAATTGGCACCATTGGGATCGAAATAATTCTTTTTGTTTTTGTTCAAGCTTCAGAGTTTAGCTCACAAACAAACCATTTTCCTTGGCTTTCACAATTGAGCACATAAAAATATCCATTTGGAATACTTTTTTTTTAAGCTCCAAAATGGGCAGAATGGTGGAAAGTTGGACTTATCCTTTGAATTGAAAGTGTTTTGTAATAAAGAAGCTTTCTGTATTACAATAAAAATCAGGTTTGAGCAGTTACCTGTAATTCAATGAGACTGTAATCTAATGCAAGCATTTCTCTCTAACTTTACTCTGGGGTCTAGACGTTGTTTTTGCAGATCTGCAGGCTTGGTCTAGGGGTGAGATATTTATATTAAAGCTCTAGCTTTTGAAAGCTCAAAATGAAAAGTAATTGCCTGGGAGAAATGTGCTGATGGATTTTTTTTTTTCCACAGCGTGGTCACCTGTGCAGTAGTAATGTTTTTGTATCTTTACCTCATTTGATCCTTCAGATACCCTGGTGAGAAGAGAGCAGATGGAGGTATTGGTAGACAGAAGCCTTGGTGGAATGAATAGCCCATGAGTTTAGGAGTCAAGAGTCCCGGATTCAAATCTCAGTTCTACTACTTGAAAGCTGAGTGATTACAGTTGAGTCATTTAAAACCTTTCATATGGCCAGGTGAGGTGGCCCATGCCTCTAAGTCCCAGCACTTTGGGAGGCTGAGGTGAGTGGATCGCTTGAGATCAGGAGTTTGAGACCAGCATGGCCAACATGATAAAACCCTGTCTCTACTAAAAATACAAAAATTAGCCAGTCATGGTGGTGGGCATCTGTAATCCCAGCTACTTGGGAAGCTGAGGCAGGAGAATCGCTAGAACCCAGGAGGTGGATGTTGCAGTGAGCCAAGATCGTGCCATTGCACTCTAGCCTGGGCAACAAGAGCAAAACTGTTTCAAAAAAAAAAAAAAAAAACCCAAAAAACAAACCTTTTATATCCAGTGGTAATGATTGCACAACGTTGTGAACATGCTTAATACCGCTGAATTGTACACTTCAATTTGGTTAAAAAGGTAAAAATACACACACGCACAGACCTTAAAAACCAAAAAAACTAGCCAGGCACAGTGGCTCACACCCATAATCCCAGACTTTGGGAGGCTGAGCCAGGAGGATTGCTTGAGCCTAGGAGTTTGAGAACAGTCAGGGCAACATAGGGAGACCCTGTCTCTACAAAAAATAAAAAAATTAGCTGGTGTGATAGCATATACCCGTAGTCCCAGATACTCAGGAAGGAGGTGGGAGGATTGCTTGAGCTAGGGAGGTCAAGGTTGCAGTGAGCCATGATCTTGCTTCTCTTTACTACAGTCTGGGTTACAGAGTGAGACCCTTTCTCAAAATCAAACTTTCATACTTCAGAAGGCTGTCAAGGGGAGCAAACCAGTTCATGTACTGAAAACACTGTACATATATGAAATATCTATTCACTATTGTGAATAGAATGTCTGCTAAGTGCCAGGGGAAATGAAAATGAACAGAAAGCAGTTGTCAAGGAGCTTTCAGTGCCATGGGAAAGATAGATAATTTAAATATGGTGAGAAAAGTGAGGCAAAATGCTGTGGTTAAGTGCTATGGTTAAGTATGGGTTTTGAAGTCTGTCTTACTACTACTTACTACTGCTGTGTGACTTTGGGCACAATGGGCTCATCTATAAAGTGGGGATAATAGAATTAATATCACAGGATTGTTTTGAGGGTTAAATAAGATAATCAATGTGAAGCATTTAACACTATATGTTATGTAGTACACATTAAAAAAATATTAGTTGTGGCCATTATTGTTAGAAAGATAGGCATTATTGATAGAAAAATATTAGTTGTGGCCATTATTGTTAGAAAGATATGTTGAATAGCCTTGTGTGCCCTGCCAAAGAGTTCTTAGTATTGTGGTATTTATTAATAAGGTATTCTTTGTATTATGATCTCTTGCATATTTGGATGTTTACAGTCTAGGAACTTTAAACAGTTTTTTAAATGCCAGGCAAAGTCCTAAACAGACGTTAGCTGTTAGCTTCCTCATTAATCAAATAAGAAGAAAAATTATGCTCTGAGAGGTTAAATGACTTAAGGTTACATAGTAAGTAAGTGGAAAAGTCTGGGTTACAGCCTCCAAATTCTCATTATATATAAAAATATATAAAAATATAAAACCCCATTTATATCTTTTTTTTAAGTTGCAAAATATGTCCTATGTATGAAAGTATGTTTAACATAAACCCACAATTTAAAGAATAACAAATTGAAGACTTTTCTACTTGTTACCCAGCTTAACAAAAGATTTCTAGTACCTTTAAAGTCTCTTGTGAGGTCCTACTTGATTGAATCTCCCACCTTCTCTCTCCCTCAGAGGTAAAGAGTTTCCTAAATTTTATGTGAATAATTTCTTTGCTTTTCTTTATAGTTTTACCAAATATGTGCATATCCCTAAACAGTGTAGTTTGTTTACCTTTGCAACTATTTATAAATATAATTATAGGGTAAATATTCTGACTTGCTTTATTCTTATTTTTTAACTTTAAAAAAATTTTATTTCTTCCACCATTAAATAATGTCTGCTCATGATAGAAACTAGAAATTACAAAAAGTAAAAAGAAGCCAAAGTATTGTTTTTAGTCCCATTCCCCAGTAATATACATATGTATATAATATATATAATATAAATATATATATATTTAGAGACAGGGTCTCACTATATTGTCCTGGTCAAGTGATCCTCTTGCCTCGGCCTCCGAAAGTGCTTCCAAATGCAGACATGTGCCATCATGCCTGGCTGGCAAATGCTTTTTGTAGAAAATATTTTATGCCACATGTGGCCTCTGTTGTTCTTTTTCCTCCCTTTCACTCCTCTTCCCTTTCGTCTTTCTGTCTTTCTCCCCATTTTTCTCCTTCTGCCAGCCCTTCCTCTTGCTTCTTCTCCCCATTCCTTCTTCTCCCACCCCTTCTCTTTCTCCTCCTTTTTATGTGGTTTTAAGAATGTAAAAACTCACAGGCTGTACAAAAATAGGCCATAGGCGGGCCATAGCTTGCTAACCCCTGGTATATTAACAGAATCAACTCAAAGTTATAGAATATTGAAGAGCAAAGAGACTAAATTAAGTTCATATTTCTTGCTTTATTTTGTTAAATTTAGTTCCTTGGGCAGTGATGCATGTCTTTAGCATCGAAAAACAACTGTGTCAAATTTTTTTGTCAAATTACACTTATCTAAAAGTTTAACATTTTATTAAATGAGCCATTAGTCTCTGTGTGAAGACAGTTAGAAAACCTTAGTTTATAAAGTTCCAATACACCACCTTTTCCTGCCAGTTAGGCAGATGTCTGGGTCCTTTCAGAATATGCCTATTTTATGATGATATAGGTTGTGCTTTTTCTTAGATAGAGACATTTTGAAGGAATCCTGAAATTATGTATTTTTCACAGTAAACTTCAATACTTGGGTGACTTGAGACTATGATCTTGATTTGCCTTCTGATCATGTTCCTCAAGCTTGATGATTTCTGCTAATGCTCATATTTCTTTTCTAGCCTCTGTTTTTATAATTTTCTTAGTATTTTAGTTTTTAGTTGCTTCCTCTGTCTTTTCTTTTGTGTCTTTCTCTGTCTTTTCTTTTGAATTGATAGCAAATGTCTCTATCAGTAAATAAAAATTATGCTATTCATACTTACGCAAATATAATGAGACTTTTGTTTGATCTGTAGTTCTTAGGTTGGTCATGTGGTACTGTTTTCATTTTAAGGATGAAGAAATTAAGTATCTAAGAGGGTAGCTGTGTGCAGTGGCTCACACCTGTAATCCCAGCACTTTGGGAGGCTAAGGTGGGAGGATCACTTGAGCCCAGGAGTTCAAGACTAATCTGATCAACATTGTGAGATGCAGTCTCTACACAAAATAAAAAAATTAGCTGGATGTGATGGCATGCACCTGTGTTTCTAGCTTTTTTTTTTTTTTTTTTGAGACAGAGTTTCACTCTT